GGAGCCCAAACAATACAGGACAGCCTATAGGCAATCTCCCCAGAAACACAGCACCAAGGAAAGTCCCATTTGCCAGGACATCTCCTGAGAGCAGAGAGGGCAGCTGGTAGGAGCATGCTGGTCTGATGCTCCGTTGGACCTAGGCCCTGAAGAACCATGCTCTAGGTGACCGTTGTCAGGCTTCCTCCCTGCACGAATCTCACTGTGAAGGGGAAATGGAATAGACATAGCCAGTGGAGGGGAGGGAGTCTGGACAGGGAGTGGGGATGGGAACAGGAGGGATCAGGTAAGGGGAGAGGGGAGGGAGAGAGTACTGGAAGAGACGACTGGAATCTGGGAACATCTCGGGGACAAGCTAGAAACTTAGAGCAATGGAAACTCCCAGGAAGCCATGAGGATGACCCTAGCTAAGACTCCTAGCAATGGAGGATACAGAGCCTTAACCTGCCATTTCCTGTAACCAGGCAAGAAGACTTCCAGTGGAGGGACTGGGACACCAACCCAGCCACAAAACCTTCAACCTGCAATTTGTCCCGCCTACAAGATGTGCTGGGTAAAGGTGGCACAGAATTGTGGGAGTGACCAACTAATGATGGGCCCAGCTTGAGACCCATACCATGAAAGGGAGTTGATCCCTGAGGGCCAGGACCCACATGCAGGATACCCCAGAGACATGGGATAGAACCAAACATGACTGGGAAAAAAGATCAATGAAATGATTGGTTCCTAAGGATATTCTGCAATACTTATAGACTGGTGTTTAGTTCAATTGTCAACAGAGAGGCTTCACCCAGCAACTGATGGCAACAGATGCAGAGACCCACAGCCAAACATAAAGCGGATCTCAGAGAATCCTGCGGAAGGCGGGGAGGGAGAATTGTAGGAGTCAGTGGTGTCAGAGACACCACGAGACAACCCACAGGATCAACTAACCTGGGCTCATAGAGGCTCACATAGACTGAACCGACAACCAGGGAGCCTGCATGGGACTGATCTAGGCCCTCTGCATCGATGTGACAGTTGGGTAGCTTGGTCCTCTTCTGGGACTCCTAACAGTGATAGGGGCTGTCTCTGACTCTGTTGCCTCTTTTGGGACCCATTCCTCCTACTGTGTTGCCTCATTCTGTCTTAATAGGAGAGGAGGTGCCTAGTCTCACTGCAACTTGATATCTCATGGCTGGCTGACATCCACAGGAGGTCTGCCGTTTTCTGAAGAGAAATGGAGAATAAGTGGATGGTAGGGCAGAGTGGGGGTGGAGGTGGGGGAGGACAAGGAAAAGAGAGAGGGGGAACTGTAGTCGGGATGTAAAAACAGAAAAGGGAAAGGGAGGGAGGGAGGGAGAGAGAGAGGGAGGGGCAGGGACAGAGAGAGAGGTGGGGGAGGTACTAAAACTGTAGAGGCAATTGGAAATAACCAGAATTCATATGACACCTTACCTTTGACCCTACACCAATGCTGCCTCTCTTCCAAATAAAGACTAAACAATAATTTAAAAACGATGCGTTCTACGGCATCCATGTGACCAGCCTGCCAGGGTTGTCTCCTGAGCCAGCGAGGCTTCTGTCTTGCTCTCTCACTTCAGGGCAATGAGAACGGTTGGAGAGTCCCTTCCTCTGCAAAGCCTCCTTGGCCTCCTCTAAGATTTGCATCTGTTCTTGAGCCCCACAAGCACCTTTGGGCATCCCTCAGGCAAGTGCTTTGTAGAAAAGATATTATCTTACATTACCTCCCTCCCTCACTAAGACTCTATGGCAAACTGTAGTTTCCAAAGAGTGGGTCCTAGCTTCATTCACGCTGCAGTGACAAAATATCACGACAAAAACCTCAGCTGGCACCTCCCTCCAGAGAAGCAAATCCCAGTTTTCAGACAACAGGGCTCCCAGGCCTCAAGTCTTCCAGCAGAGGCTCCAGACTCTGTGAAAGCAGAGATAAGCCATTACCACTGCTTGTTCAAAACCTAAGATCTGTAGAATATACCAGTCAGAGAAATGAGAGATAAGTGATGGCAGGCAGCCACGGAACTGGAATACACTCTCTAAGTGTGACCACAGGTTGAGCAAGACCAAAGTTTCTTGACTGCCTTCACTGATGTGGGAAGACCTAGTCTATAAGGAGGTGGCACCATTCCTTGGTCTGAGGTACTGGACCGTGTAAGAGTAGAGAAAGCTGGCTGAACACGAGGCGTACTCATTCCTCTCTGCGTTTGACTGTGGGTGTGATGTGACTAGATGCTTCAGGCCCCTGCCACCTCAACTTCCCTGCAATAACGGATTGTAACCTGGACCTGAGACCCAAAACAAATCCTTTTGAAGTGGGGTTTTGTCAGGATATAGTATCACAGCAGCAGAAATGAAACCAGAGCACCATCTTTGAAAAATTCAGTCTCCCACGGATCCTAAGTGAATGTGCTAGTGCTTGAGAGAAGAAATGTAAGGCACGGTCTTCTTTTTCTGCCTCTGTCTGTCTGTCTGTCTGTCTGTGTCTGTCTGTCTCTATGTCTCTCTGTGTCTGTCTGTCTCTATGTCTCTCTGTGTCTTTGTCTATGTCTGTGTTTCTCTGTGTCTCTGTTTCTGTCTCTCTGTCTCTCTGTCTCTCTGTCTCTCTCTCTCTCTCTCTCTCTCTCACACACACACACACACACACACACACACCCCTCATTCTAGAGCAGTCTACATTTAGAACATTCCTGTTCTGTTTCATTTTGTTTTGTTTTCTTGAGACAGGCTTTCTCTGTGTAACAGACCTGGCTGTCCTGGAACTCTCTTTGTAGGCCACACTGGCCTCAAACTCACAGAGATCCACCTGTTCCTGCCTCCCAACTGCTGGAACGAAAGGCATGCACCCTCCCTCGGTATTTTCAACACACACACCCCATACAATCTACCCAGCTTCCCATTGACTTAATAGCCTGAAGCTCAGTGTGGTGCATGCCATGTGTCTTGAGGGCACAGTGAGATGCATCCCATCAGCTGTAACAACCTCGCTGTCTGAGGGGGGCAGCACGCTTCTTCAGAGCAGTGTTTCTGTGTGTGCACACACCATCCCAACACCATTCACACACTCGGCTCAGAAACACACAAGCAAAATACGGCACCTTAGTATGAGAAAAATCACGGAAGAGAAGATGGCCAAAACAGATCGTAAGACTCTTTAGAGGTGCCCTCCTCATTCCCAGAGGCACATCCTGACCTCTGAAAACACCAGAGCCCAGCAAAGATCTGAGCGAAAAAGTCCATCACTTTATTCCCACTAGGTCAGTGGTTCTCAGCCCTCCTAATGCTGAGATCCTTTAATACATACAGTTCCTCACATTGTGGTGACCCCAAGCATAAAATTATTTCGTTGCTACTTCATAACTCTAATTTTGCTACTGTTATGAATCGTAATGTCTGATATGCAGGATATTTGATATGCAACCCCCAAAGGGGTCTGGACCCCAGGTTGAGAACTGCTGCTCTAGACCATATCCCTGTCTAATCAACTTCTTCACTTTAGGTCCTTGTTTCCTTATGAAAGCTCCCACTCATGGAAAACATCTTGAACGAATGTGTATATTGTCCTCTCGATACCTGCCTTTTGTTATGGGACCTCAGCCATAAGCCCACGTGACGAGCAAGGGGAAGATACTGCTTTCCCCCTGCCCAGCCATGGACCTGTCTGGAGCAGCCTTCTTCCACCTGCTCCAGACATGTCTCCTAAAAACACCTTTCTTGCCGGGCGGTGGTGGCGCACGCCTTTAATCCCAGCACTTGGGAGGCAGAGGCAGGCGGATCTCTGTGCGTTCGAGGCCAGCCTGGGCTACCAAGTGAGTTCCAGGAAAGGCGCAAAGCTACACAAAGAAACCCTGTCTCGAAAACCCCCCCCCCAAAAAAAAAAACCACCTTTCTTCTCACACAAGAAGTTCAAGTCCACTGTTGCCCTCTTCCTGCCCATACCCATGCTGCTTCTCAGCAGGTGTCCGAGTCTCACACTTATCAAAACTGTACACACAACTTGTAACAAGTATTTTTAGGATGAAAATTTGTTCCAACACCCGATATTCCTTTGGGCTGTTTGCAGAGCAGTGCATGACCAGGTAAACCTGAGCTGTGAGACTTTGAGCCGAGGGTGGCGCTTCGGGGAAGCCTCGAACACAGTGTGCATGAGAGGAGGAAGGCGCTGCTTATCAGCCCTTCATTTTAATCCATTTGACACAATATGTCTTGATGCGAACAAACAGGAAAGAATGCTTCTGGAAACAAACATTCGTAGAACAAAATTGTAACGACGGCCCAACAAGATTGTAACGACGGCCCAAGAAAACAATGGTTACTTTTCATTGACATGATGGGATTAGCACCAAGGTGGAAATGGTGAAGCCAGACAAAACAGGCACTTTGGCACTGCCAAATACAGTCAGAGGGGGAAGAAGAGGGACTTGGTGGGCGGGGGAGGGCTCCACAGACAGGCCTGGCCTGGCCTCACAGGTAAAACTCCCTAACTCAGGTTCTCAGACTCAGGCTCAACACACCACATCTGTGGAAATCACATCTATGCCCTAACATAGAGCTTCTCATCTTTGTGTCATTCAGAAAATGCTGCTGGGCACAGTGGTCACACCTGGGAGCTGACCACTTTGAAAGCTGAGGCAGGGGGATCATAAGTCGACAGGCCACGCTGAGCCACAAGTGAGACTGTATGTTAACAACACTGACGGCAGAGCTGAGTGCTGTGGCATGATCCTGTGACCCCAGGGTTAGGGAGGCTGAAGCAGGACTACGAGGTTGAGGCCAGCGTCCAAAGCATAAGCAAAAACTAAAACCATCCCACCACCGCCATATGCATAGTCCTCCAAACAGCAATTTCAATTGTGCCGTCCACATCATGGAAAAGCAGCTACCACAAAAGAAACCAAAATAAAACACAAACCTCAAAATTCTTCAGGACCTAAGAAAACCAAAACCTCTAAACCACAAGTACATTTCTTTAAAAAAAAAAAATTTTTTTTTTGAAGCTTTACCTGTGGCTATAGTGGATGGCTATCGTCAGTCCAAGCTGTAATTAAGAAAAAAGAGAGAAAGCACAAATTAAATACTAGAAAAAACATGCTGAATTCACAAGAAAATTAATTCAATATGGTCAATCAGTTTGAAACATGCCCTAATGTCTGGAGAGATGGCTCAG